GTTTTAACAGTGGAAATGCTGTGGAATAAACGCCCCTCAGACTCATTATGTAGTATTCTTAGATAAAGACATGTACTAGAAGCTGGTGGTTCAGAAAAATCCACCAAAGACAACAGATGAAGCATCACGTTAGTTAATGCAGGATACGGAAGTCATACGCGCCCCCAGCTGTAACCATGCTAGCCAATTGAATCATAGCTTCCAATCGGCCACACACTAATCACAGCCCACTCTCACTCCAAGGAGGTTTATTTAGATATGACTCCCTCCTCACTGATTCTACGCTGTTACAGACCGTACTGTTGGCAAAGCTTTGCCTCCCCCACCCCAGCCTCCACCCTTTTTTTAGTTCAGAGTTCATCTTTCATGGCAAATGGTTGAAATGTATTTAAAAAATGTACTTCTGGCTCATTCCTGTAAACCCTTGGGGGTTGTTGCTCGGTGCTCTCCGTTTTGGCTTGGTAGCTGCTTGCTAATCTGGGGAGCATTCAAAGAGCAGAGCCATCAGCGCCAAGTTTAACTGTATTTCCATTTGTTGCAATAAATGGTTCAAATCTATGACGAGAGTGTTCCTGACTGAAGTGAACTGGGACAATCAAGCTGTCCTTGAACTTGTGCTCATGGAAACATGGAAAAGAGAAAAAAATCCCTTTGATGGTAGCTTTTGAATGTAGAACTCACCAACTGAGCGATGGTTAGTGACTTAATGCACGGTCTTACAGGGGCTGAAGTCGCGAACACCAAGTACCGGGGATCTCACAAGACATGAGCTTAAGATATCTCACTCAGAAACAAACAGAGAAGTTGAACATTTCAATACACCACCAAATAATAAAAAGCATTAAAAGAATAAGTCCTGCATTGAAACTCTAAGTTACAGTATAAACGTTAGAAGATTTTAAAGGTTTGGTTATGTAACATTGGAGAAAGCAACAAGAATCAACACTCACAGCTGTTAAGCTAGCAGCTTGTGGAAGACTCCGGTGAGTCTTTATTTGGGCCAAATAAAATGATTGGAGGTATAACCAATTTCTTTCTCTTTTTTGTCAGATCATTTGATTTATTGATTGTTGTTGCAATGTAGAGAGAATTTCAACAAATATAACAAAACAAATTTGAAAATACATTACCAACCCTAGTTTTAAGTAAAGCATGTACTTAAGTATTTAAAGCAATAAAAAGGGTAGTGTAAAATTGATTGAGTATAATATGTGAATACTCTTTCTTTCCTTGGACACATGGAAGGGCGACTTCAACTCCTATCGTTATAACTAATGCATTTTGTGGAAAACAGCTGCATGCTTCGCCTGTAAAGAATCTGATTATAGCAGTGAGACTGAATTAAAACAAAGAGCTGAAAGACACTAAAACCTTCCATAGAGCTGAGAAGAACTGCAGAGTCTGAAGATAACGCTCTGTGGGTTTGACACAGAGACCTTTCTCAGTTTACTCGCAGTCATCTGTTCCACTGTTAGTATAGAAATATGGATTAGCACTGACACGTCATTTTAACAAATGACTTGCCACCACCACGTAATGCTCTGTCAAGAGCTTGTGGTCATTTCATCTATTTCTGTGAGATCAGGCTGGTTATTATAGAGACCTACTTTTTGCCTCTAGTTTTCCATCCGAGTTATCCACTCTTCTTTATTATTTTTATCATCTTCTACTAATTTGCATAATCCTTACTATAAATACAATTGTCATCATCTTTCTTTTCCCTCCTCCACATCCCATCATTGTCACCGTCTTCAACCTCCTCCTCAACATCATCATTATCATAACTGCTCATTTCCATCAAGACCATCACGGTCACAGCATCATAATGTGCATAACCATGTCACCATTCTCATCCATTAACACCAGTCGATCTGAATGTGTGAAAACATCGAAACAGCCAGACAGAAACAATTATGTTCCGTCAGGCAAATAAGCTGCACAGGGATTGTGACTAATGGATAAAACCCCATTTTATGCACCGGTTGTAATGCAGCTGACCTCCTCCTTCCTCATCGTTCTGAGGTCATCAGAGCGCAGAAACTCAATTTGATTCACACACTGTCCAATACTTGACACATAATTAAACTGGTGAGGATGTACGATTGGCTGGTAATTGAATCAGCACAACTGGAGTGCCACAGCCCTGGCTGGAAGGAAACACTGACAACGTACACAGGTGTGTATGAGTAGATGGAGTAGACTGCTCACCTATTAATCATGTTGTATGTGAAGAAGAAACAAACTTTTTTGTTAAGTTAGATGAGCGGATATGTCAGTATTTTATTAAAAGATAAATGGCGAAGGAGTTAGCAGAAAGTCAGCCTGTATCCATCATTCTTTATGTATCTTTGCTGCGAGGCAGATTAAATGTCTCAGTGACTCTCAGTGGTGCTGATACATGGCTGTCCTGAGGACTTGAGCTTAGTTATAGTCACAGTGCTAACCCCTCAACAGTGTAAAGGATGCATACTATAGATTTAGTCCTGGTGAAAAACATCTTCCAGAATTTCTGAAATCAAAAAGGAAGATCTGTGATCGGTTTATTGATGCTATTTAAGGATAAAAGGTGTTGTTGTCTTATCATTATCTTGTCTTTTTTTGTATTCCACTGATTGACGTTTCCATGAAAACCTTGAGTGTTTCTAGAAAAGTAACAATTACATGCAACTATGTGATTCATTGACCTTGCAACTCCATCAGCAACCAGTCGGGTTATAAAATCAAAACTCTGATAATGTGAGATTGCACAAGTACACAATGGATTCCAATGCTGTGATTCAGAACAATGTAGCAGCTTTGAGTATTTGGAGTAAGCTCAATGTCAGACTGATTAACATGACATCATGGGTGACTGCCTTTGGACAAAGAGTGGTTGTGTGCGTGTGTGTGTGTGTGTGTGTAGGTGTGTGTAGGTGTGTGTGTGTGTGTGTGTGTCAATAAACACACAGGATGTGTGGTGATGGATCGCCCTGGAATGCAGTGGTAATTCAGCACAATGCTTGTTTCCAAAGCGGAAACCTTTCTCAACACACTCTTTTTCATTAGAAAATGTATTTTCTGCAACTAGAGAGGCATATCTACTAATGTCCTTCAACTTGGATGAGTATTGTACTCTAATTGAAAGACAATAATTAAAGGAGCATCCTGATTGGTGTGCGTAAATGTAGACATCAGAACATTTTCTTTGTAATAACGTTAATTTTTTCATACTCCCAGAACATGAACACACAACAGTTTACAAAAGCTTTTTGATATATTTTGTTACTTCTTATCATCTAAGTTTCTTTCCTTGGAGATAACAATGGTGCTAAATTAAAGATGCAGTATTTGATGCATTATTATATGTCTATATTTTTGGTCACTTGGTGGCAGCAGTTGGCTAACAACTACCTATTTACACATCCAGTCAAGGAGCAGCATCAGCAATCATTTGGAGTCGTGTTTCTGGGCCCCTGACAAATCTAAATCACATATTTAGTCACCTTTCACCTCTGTTTGGTGTCTGACAACCACTGAGAAAAGTCTCTGGCTCTTTAGCTGCTCGGTGCTCCACTTTGTTTACCAGCTAGTTCTTGACTTTGTCCGTTTGAGGATTGGTGCTGAGCAGGTAGCATACAGTGGGTTCATCATCAGAGAGTTTTCACTGACAACAGCTGCTGAAAACAGAGTTGATGAGAGCAGTGGGAATGAACCAAAAGGTGCGGTCGAGGAAATTGTTAATCTAAAAGTATTGATCCTGCAGCCTTTAAGGCTTTACATTATTGGTTTTAATTAAACAGGAAAATAATTTCCCTTTCTTAATCCTTTACTAAGGGGCTGTTTTGACTAATATGCATTTGTACATTATACAGAGAATAACAGTGCGTTAATCTTTACCAGCTTCCTTCACCAGTGTCAAGAATTGAGTTCCGGTGTGTCCTGCTTCTTGTCAGTGTATACTCTTTATTCATGTGGTCATTCTCTGTGACCGCTCTGCTCTATGAATAAGGGACTGTGGGAGTTTGTTGCCTATGCTGCTGTCCTATCTTTTTTACATGTACGCCTATCTGCAGTGTAGAACAGCAGCATCCGTTAACATCTCTGGGCCCATCCCTTATCATGTCCAACGCTAGTTGATGTCCATTGGACTGAGATGGTGCCGATGTGGTCAGGATGTCCACACCAGTGCTCATATTCTGTTTATCGTGAAAATTTCAGTTATCGAAATGTTATGTGGGTTGGCCAACTATTGGCAGATTTGGCACTCAATGCAAACCTGACTGCCTGGAAGGAGAGTCCTTATCTAAAAGGCATTTTGTGAGGTTTCTCTATCTTTTTTTCAGGGTCGAATTGTATTTGTTCTATTTGGTACTAACCTTTGTGGGAGTGGTTGGTTTTTCTCTGAGTTTTCTAAACTTGGAGCCCTTTTAGAACTACCTTAACAACCTGAAATAATGACTGTAAATATGACACCAATGCTGTGAAATATTTAGTAACTTCAGTCCTGTATTACCATATTTGACTGGACAACAAGCAGTAGCTACTATCACAAGATGGTTTATCTTCCCTTTCATTCTTAAACAAAAGCAGTGTGTGTGTGTGTGTGTGTGTGTGTGTGTGTGTGTGTGTGTGTGTGTATGTGTGTGTGTGTGTGTGTGTCAGTGTGTGAAATCAATCATTTAAATAGTCAAAATATTGATCAAAGCCTTTCTCACTTCCACCTCTGGCACAAAGTCAATGTGGTGTTTTCAGTGCTGGTGTAAACAGCTGAAGAGGCTGTCGGACACTTCCGAACAACCCGGGCAACGGTGGTAATGTATCAACATCACAAAGATACACGAACCACCAAACATAGTGCTCAAAAAAATAACGGACAAATGTGAACACTTTGGTTCCAAAAACTGGGACAGCATACGCACAATAATAATAAAGACACAGAGAGCTCTAAAATCATTTGTTTGATCAGACACAACTGGCAGAACAAGGTGTATTTTTTTTGAGATATTAAACCAACAACCTACCAAGAAAAATGATGGTCTGCTTCCTGGCTGTCTTGACCTTTGAACTTTCGTGCTTGAGCGCACCGTTAATAGTGCCATCCATGGACCCTGAAGGTTTCCGAAGGACGAGGACCATGGCCCGGCACATGAAGGCCACACAGATCAACACCATCATGTAGACAATGAAAGCCACGAAGATGCTGACCCTGTACATCACCCAGCGCTCCCTCAGATTTGTACAGAAAGTCAGATTCTGGACGGGTGTGTCTGCCAGGAAGGGAATGTGTCCCTGCGTTCCTGTGGCAACCAGCAACGGCAGGGCCACAAGCACGGACACCAGCCAGGCAAAGGTGATGAGGGCAGAGGTGCGTTTTCCACCCAGGGCTTTGAAGCGAAACGGGTGACAGATAGCCACGTAGCGCTCAAAGCTAAGTGTGGCCACGTTGAGGATGGTGGCATAGCTGCAAGCCTCGAACAGGAAGTTGTAGATCTTACAGGAAGCGTTCCCACCTGCTGATGAGAACGGAAACCAAATGGCGCTGTAGAGCTCCACTGGCATGCCGATGAGGAGCACCAACAAGTCAGAGCACGCCAAACTAGCCATGTGATCAGTAACGTTCTTCTGCAGGTAGCCATTGCGCTTCAGCACTTGTGTCACTCTGATGGTGACCGAGTTACCCACGATACCCGTCACCAGGATGAGGCTGTAAAAGATTGTCAGGAAGATTTTGACGGAGTAGTTGGGTTCAAGCTCCCTCCAGTCTTTCACCTCTGCTATCTCAATTTCCTCACTCATGGTTACGGAGCAGTGAGCTCTGATTTCCCAGGTATTGATTTTGTCCTTCAGCTTATCAGGTCTGCTGGGCGAAGTCTCTTAGAGCCAAGAACCAGAAGTGAGCTGTTTTTCCGAGATAACAACTTACACTGAAGACTTCTCTTTGCGTGTGATTAATCCCGGATTCTTCAAGGAGAGTATCCCAGTGGAAAGTACACTCCAAGTCACAGTAGGTGTATCATTTCATGACCGTTGATACAGTACTTTCTACTTTGTTCTAAATATTTAGTATCTTATCACCAAAAGTCCAGTGTGTGGCCCCAAGCCATGTTCCATCTCCTCCCACTCCTGATGATCATCTGGGATCCTCGAGAGTCGTCTCAGGTTCTAGTGCAGAGTCGTTGGTTTCACCTCAGTCAGAGCATAGTGTTAGCCAACACTCCTCTCGCACACATTTCCTCCTCCCACCAACGAGGGCAGGGCAGTTAAACATTAAACGCGAGGACAGGCAGCATGAGTGCTGAGGCCTGCTTCCATTTCTTATCATCAGTATGAATGTTCCTCCCACACTTTGTTTTACTCCAAGTTATAGCTGAGATTAGGAGAACGGTTAAATGTACATGAGTCGTGATGCAACATATAAGAAAAAAAAAAAAGCATGCCTGGCTTTGACCGAATAATTGAAATTGGTTCAGATTAACAATCTAGAAGTTTAGTTTAATAAACTGAAGTGCAGGGAAGTTGAGAAGTTAAAGCAGGAACCGGGATGAAATAAGCCAGACGTAGCTCCACAGAGTTCAGAGTGTTCTTTTTAAAAATGTTTTTCAATGCAATGTGAACTCCTACAGAAACAGAATTATGGTTGAGTGATAGCATTTGTTTGGCTGATAAAATAATTGTGTTTCAAAGATAATGAATTTCTGTATTTTTTTCTTTTAAATGCAGAGTGGGAACGCTGGATGCATTAATATTTAAAGCATCATTTTTTCATCTTTAGAAATAAGAGCATTTTCCTAGACTTCTCCACACTTTTAGCTGCTTCTTAAACAGACAAAGCTGAGCTGATGCCTCCAGGTTGAACCTGGTTAGATAAAAGCTGTACCCTCTCACTCTGATTGTCCGATAACATCAATCAAACCATCACATTGTCAGCCAGATGTTCACTGCCAAAAGTTAAAAAAAAAAGTTAAATCAAGGTTGAATGTTATGACAACTGGAGCCTCCTAATTTATGCCTCAGATCGCATTTGAATATTTGCCGCTGTGTTCACGTGTGTGTGTAATTACATAGAGCTTGACAATGCCTTTTTAATATCTCAATAACGAGGCGCTCGAGTGTTCGAGATTGCATGAAAGTGTCTTTGTGACTTTGAGATAAACACATCATGGGCATTAATGTACCGCATGCTAGAAATCATTCACAGCTGTTAGATGTAAAAGGAAATAAGCTCAAATAAAATGGTTGACATACATGAGGGAGGCTTGCTGCCTAATTGTACTTTGCACAACCAGTCGTGCGTTGGTGATGGGGGACAGTTTTTAGCCTAGATAGGTTGTATTTCTACAATATAAAAAAGGAAGGAAATGGAAGGATGTCAAGGGAAAAGAGTTATTCACTTGAGTCTCCACTTGACACTGAACATATTAAAAGGGACACACAAGGTCTCCTCAAGAGATATATTCACTCTACAAGACCTAAAATGTCTACTGCTTTATGTTATGGCAGGTTAGACTCAACATTTAGGCCTCTAGTTGGTGCTTAAATGTGCTGATGTATTTGGTTGCAAGGCATGCACTGTTTGCAGATATTCAGCAGCACATTTGGTGTTCTTCGGGCTCTATTATCTGAATTCAGAGCCATCATGCTTACGCTATAGACTCAAAGGCATACAAAAGATATTTTTAGCAGACCGAGAAATGTTTTCATACAACATTATGAAAGAGAATATTTGCATCCTTTCAAAACAGATGAATGGCCCTGAAGATGTGTGTGTGTGTGTGTGTGTGTGTGTGTGTGTGTGTGGGGGGG